ATCTACATGCAATACATATGTTCCGGACGATACGCTAATTGCTATTTCAAATCCAAGTACACCTATTGAGGAACGTGAGGGTATTTTATTTTTTTTGAAAATTGAAAATTTCTTATATCAAGAAATTTGAGTTATTTTCGAAAAATTTGAATTAAGCAACCCTGAAAAGAGGGAGTCATTCGATAAACTTGCTAGAGATTGATTGCTGTTAGTACTTGCTACCATTCGGCTTATTTATGAATTTCTCTGCTTCTCAAAAAATACTAGTTATGGAATTTTTCATGAACAAATAATATGTCATATAATTGAAATGATAGTCTAATATATGATTAAATATGTATTTTAAAAGGCAAAGTTATGTACAAACAGAAAAGAAGGGGGGAAAATATTAATATTTGCACAAATTGGTAAGAAATGTTTCGGTCCATTAAGTCGTATACATTTCTAATTTGCTTTAAAAGAATTCGAGTATTTTCGAGTGGCCGTTTGAGCACTCAAATTTCACACCAAATGAACAGTTTGCAAGATATCATTGCGTTTTGTGAGGAAATAAACTGTCAGAAATGCTAATGAGTGCTTATTGGGATTTGATATTCTGGGCCAAAGGGAGCCTAAAAAAACAGCTTGTTAGAGACGCGTGGGGAACATCCCAGTGTATTCTTGGCTGCTTGAATAACCTAGCAATTTTTACTTTACAAACGTGGTGGTATTCCATGTTTCTTTTTCACATAGCCGATGTGCGTGGTGAAATTTGAAAAAAAAAATAAAAAAAAAACTGTGATTCCACTGAAGTTTTTGCTGGAATTTTTTGAATTTTGAATTTTTGAATTTTTCAAATTTGAAGTTTTTGCTGAAATTGCAATTTGAAGTTGTTATGCTTTAGGGTATTATCCCAGACATCTTTGTTGCAGACAAAAAAGTACCATTCTCAGCGTGCCATTACCAATCAGCACTGACTTCACCATCTCGAGAAAGTATATCAAATTCGGGCAGTGATTGGGAAGGTGATTTTTTTAAAAATCATTTTCGATATCAGCATTTTCGATATTATGATTTTGAAGGCCTACTAATGCTTTGTCGGTCAAAATCAAAGATCAAAACAAAGCTCCTTACTCATTGTCTGTGGGCAACCGAGGCACGCAGAAGTTCTCCGAGAATAATGGCAGCCAACAGCAATCGCTTGCTGCTAAGGGATTGATTGCTGAAATTTGATATTTGCTACTCTCGAGAAACATCCGAGCGTTTCGGCTTCTCCCCCCCTTTCGGGATTTGTTTGGAAGCAAGCTGATGGTGGGTTTGACTCTCTGGTTTTTTTGTCA